TTTAGAAGTATTAAAAATAGGAAAATAAGAAGTCCCACATCATTAAATTAGTCTTATGTAACTGTCATAGTCACTTTATGTAATAGAGCCTTCATTTTGCAGGGGTCATATAAATATATAATTGATCTAATGGTCAATAGCAATGCTAGACAAAGAAAACCAATTATAAAGGTCAAATCTACTCCTTTGGAGGCAAACCTCTGTGGCAGATGCAAGTCTCTTCCCCACAGCTTTGGGTGTGAATCCAATGATTACTGTTCAAGCAATTGCTTATTGCACAGCACAATCTGTTCTTGACGATTTTAGAAGGAAAAGGAGTAGATTTGATAAAAAATAATATGTTGCTGTTTTTGTAGCTCCAATGATATAGCATTGAGCAGTAAGGCCTTATTCAAATAATACAGTATTCCAAAAAAAAAAACAAGAAAAACTGAAAATTGCAATAATTTTATGAGAGCTGTTTAATAATTCCTAAAGAGTAGCAGTACTCTAGTTTTTTTTGTTGTTGCCATAACAGTGTTGTAGTTTACAACTTTAAAGTTTTAACAGTCACTTTGAATTTAGATTGGACTCCCTTTCAATGAATGGAAAGGTGATCCAGAGACGACCTTCACGTCCTCACATAACACTGGATATATTTTGACTCCTATATAAAAAAAAAAAATACTCTTTGTTAAACCCGACTAGCGAGTGTTGGTTTTGACTCCTATATATCAGATAAAAATGTAACCTTGAATGACATAACAAAAGGGGAATTAGGAAATTGTCAATGACACAATAACAACTCGGTCCATATCATTTGTTTATAGCGAAGCCTAATGTTTTTGTTTAAAGCTTGTTAAAATCATGAAATCAAATACTCATGTAACAAAATCAATAGCAGTGCCACAATTTTAATTTAACCTTTATATCTCTAATTATCTAAAGTGACAGGGAACTAATTAGCAAGGCATAACGTCAGTCACGCCTGGAACCCAACCAAAATGTCAAATCACATGGCATAAAAGGCTAGTCTAAGTTGTTCATGTTCTTAGTAGTTATCTCCTTGTAGATGTTTGTGTTTAGTGGTTAGCTGCTAGTGCCTACACACCATTAACTAATCCCTCATAAAATCCAACGTGGAACTTGAAATACCACAAACTGTCCAATGTTTGTCAATAAGATGATAAGTAACTACTAGACGTGGCAGATTGCCAGGTAGAATTGCCATCATTATCATGAAAACTATGATGGGCAAAGTTCACATTATATAAGAAATAAATAAAAAATATTAATAAAAAGATTATATCAAAATATACATTTGAGAAAAGCCATTAGAAGAAACTCTAACCTGAGACACAGAGATTGGCCGGCCTTTATTTAAAATATAATAAATAAAATTATCATTTTAATAATTTTAAATAATAAAATAATATTATTTTAGTTATTCTTTTAAGAGAAAATAAATAATATGATATAGGCCGGCCTGTAGGCTTATAGGTCGGCCTGTAGGCTTATAGGCCAGACATGTACAAAAAAAGCTTATGGTCTATTTTCTAAATAGATATCTTTAAAAGTCTAGGCCTGTTCTATTTTACTATTTATAATAGGCTAAGTGTGGCCTAATATAGGCTAGGCCGGTCTAACCCATTTACACCCCTAGGTGTATTGGATTAAGATTTTAAAAGACTTTTTTGAGCTAAAAAATCTTATAGATTTTAAAAGACTATTTAGAATTGGATAGACTTTAAAAACTTTTTTAAAAGACTTTTTTTACAATCAAGATTTCATAAGATTGGATTTTAAAGGATTTTAATAGAATTTAGAAGATTTGAAAGGACAATATGGATTTATAAGATTTTAAAAAATCGTATTAATTTTTAACACACATTCAAAATTACAAGAGTCAATAAAAAGGGAAAGGTTATACTTACAACCTATTTTTGTTTACAACATTTTACAACCATATCTTAACCACTGATTTTCGTCAAACAGCGGTTATCATTCATTGCAAATTAAATATTAATTAATGAGATTGATTTGCGAAAATAATAACCATTGATTGACGGAAATCAACTGTTAAGATATGATTGTAAAAGGTTGTAAACAAAAAATAGGTTGTAAATATAATCTTCTCCATAAAAAAATAACAAAGAAATGCAATGAAATTAATAAAAAAAAGTAAAACCTAATATAATTTTCTCAATCTGTAAAACATAATATAATTTTTAACAAACATTTAAAATTACTAAACAACAGCTTTTCACATATCTAATGGGTTGAAAATTATCTTCTTCATTTGGTATCAAAGCTATGCATATACGATTATAAGACCCAATTTTTTATTATAAAAATAATTCTAAATTTGCATATAGTACCTAAAGTTCATGATAAAATTTCATTTGGAATTTTTTGCAATTGATCTTGAAAATCTTGGGGTTTTTGTTTTACGTGATGAGAGTTTTCTAACCATATATCATATGCATATTTTCGTTGAATATTCTAAGAAAATTTCGAATATGAAATTGTGGGTTTAATTACATTAAATTTTAGAAATTTCTCAAAAAAAATTCAATTGATACATTGAAACTTTAAATTGTTTTGGGGCTTTTGAGAAACAAGCTTTTAGTTATTTATTGACAAAAAAATTGTTTGAAATCGTTTCCTATAGTGAAGGCATTTCGTTCATGAATGTATTGTTACGAAATATAGGGTTCATATTATGAAAGTTTCAATCTTTCTTTAAATTGATATTGTTTCATTGATTTAAAACGAAAATTGGTTTAGGGGGTTTATGTTATTTTTGATACAAAAATCACACATTTTTTGTGCCAAGAAAAACCGTGACCCATAGCTTGAAAAATCATTTTTTAAACTTCCAAAATTTCTCAAAAATGGCTCAAAAATATGTTATTTTTGAGATAGATTATATTAAAATCTCGTTGATTTGTTGTTTCTGGGTTGTTTTGTGATGAAAATCGCTAAAAAATATGCTCTCTTTTTTTTTTTTTTTGATGAAGCTCCCATGGCGGAACCCAATTTCGAGCAGTCAACCTGCCAAAGGAAGAAAAAAAATACTGCAATATAAGAATCTCAAGAAATCCTAGGGGTTAAGGTGAGATTGTGAGAGAGGCATCCTATTTATATTTTTCACTAAAAAGTCTCACGAAATCCACACTAATAGAAAATCCATTAAAATCGTCAATTTTTTTTTTTTTTTGATAACAAATCGTCAATTTTTTGAATACCACGAGATTGTGATTCCATTGTTTAAAATTCTGATTGAAATACCAACGGATTTGGACGGATTCTAAAATAATCTTTTAAAATTCTAATCGAATACCACGTGACTTTTTTTCAATCCATTAAAATCCTTTGAAATCTCAATCCAATACACCCCTATTGGATTAGGATTTTAAAAGACTTTTTTCAGATAAAAAATTCTACAAATTTTAAAAGACATTTTAGAATTGGAGAGACTTTATAGAGTTTTTTAAAATACTTTTTCTACAATCAAGATTTCATAGGATTGGATTTTAATAGATTTCATAAGATTTGAAAGGAAAATATGGATTTATAAGATTTTTAAAAAACTATATGAATTTTTAACAAATTTTCAAAATTACAAGAGTCAACAAAAACAAATAACAAAGAAATGCAATGATATTAATAAAAAAAGTAAACTTAAAAACGGGTTAAAAATTATCTCAAAAATTACTAAGCAACAACTCTCCACATATCAATAAAATCTAATATAAGTTTTTCAATGAGTTTGAGTTTGATTTGTGAAAATAATAACCATATATCAATGGTTAACTTCCAAATTAAATATTAATAAATGAGTTTGATTTGCGAAAATAATAACCATTGATTGACGAAAATCAACGGTTAAGATATGATTGTAAAAGGTTATAAACAAAAATAGGTTATAAGTATAATATTCCCCATAAAAAAATAACAAAGAAATGCAATGAAATTAATAAGAAAAAGTAAAACCTAATATAATTTTCTTAATCAGTAAAACATAATATAATTTTTAACAAACATTCAAAATTACTAAACAACAAACATTCTTAATCAAAAAAATTTGAATCTGAAATTTTGGGTTTAATAACATGAGGTTTAGAAAATTTCTCAGAAATTTTTCAGTAAATACATTGAATCCTTTAATTGCTTTGTGGCTTTTGAGATACAAGTTTTTAGTTATCTATTGACACAAAAATTGTTTGAAATCGTTTCTTATAGTGAAGGAATTTCGTTCATTAATGTATTGTTACTAAATATAGGGTTCATATTATGAAAGTTTCAATCTTTCTTTAAATTGATATTGTTTCATTTATGTAAAACGAAAATTGGTTTGAGGGTTTTAGTTCTTATTTTTAACTGTTTTATGCTATTTTTAATACAAAAATCACACGTTTTATTACCAAGAAAAATCGCGACCATAGCTTGAAAAATCACTTTTTAAACTTCCAAAATTTCTCAAAAATGGCTCAAAAATATGTTATTTTTGAGATATATTATTTTAAAATCCTGTTGGTTTGTTGTTTCTGAGTTGTTTTGTGATGAAAATCGCTCAAAAATATGTTTTTTTTTTAGTTTTGATGAAGCTCCCATGGCGGAACCCAATTTCGAGCCGTCAACCGGCCGAAGGAAGAAGAAAACACTGCAATAGAAGAATCTCAAAAAATCTTAGGGTTAGGGTGAGATTGTGAGAGAGACATCATATTTATATTTTTCACTAAAAAGTCTCACGAAATCCACACCAATATAAAATCCATTAAAATCGCCGGATTTTTGAATACCACGAGATTGTGATTCCATTGTTTAAAATCCTGATTGAATACCAACGAATTTGGACGAATTCTAAAATAATTCTTTAAAATCCTAATTGAATACCACGTGACTTTTTTTCAATCCATTAAAATCCTAATCGAATACCAACAAATTTTTTTGTCCAAAAATAATTCATTAAAATTCTTTGAAATCTCAATCCAATACACTCCCTAAGTCTAAATATTATGTGGGTCAATGTATTTACCTGATTATAAGTTATTATCATATTTCTATTTTTTAAGATATTGTCTTCAGAAAAAGGTGGGGATCTGATGTGGAGTATTGTTTGTGTATTGTAATTTGTACATATATGTTCAGATAGGAGAATTGAAGAAGGGGCTCAATCCACCATCTCTCACAGATTTGGTATTTGTGTCGCCTTATTTGACAACAGCTATCAAAACAGGCCTTGTCGTTGGCATTATAGCACTTGCGGTAAGGGCATCAAACGTCATTTTCTTTATTAGTATATCATATACGCATGCCTAATGTAATGCCATTGACACACGGCAACCCAGTTACGTGGCCCGTGACAACGTACGTAATAGAGACAAATCACAACTCTGAAAAGTCACATCCTTAGCCAAAATAAATTAGACAATGTTAAGCAATAACATTATGGGCATTATTATATATTTGTGGCATTTTATTCTAATCATGTGGTCCTCCCCCTTTGAAAGTGATTTAGATAGTCAAATTTGGTTCATTGTGCCTTTAAAAAAAAAAAAACTTTCAAAAGGCAAAATCACGTAAATTCACGTCTGATCACATGGAGAAAACTTTCTGTACAATAGTTGTATCTACGTTCATATTATAAGGAAAAAAAATTATGGGACTTACAGAAAAATATAAAGTAAAATAAGGGTTAAAATGAAAAAAAAAATTCTTTTTTAATAAAAAGGAGTACCGAATTCAATACTCAATAGTATTGAAATTTTTTTCGATCACATGATAACCTTCTTCAGTCGTCTTGTCTAGTGCTCACAAATTTTTTTAATACTATGAGGGGGTGTTTGGTACAGGAAAAAAAAATTTATCTGAGAATTATGATTACTGGGAATATGATAGAAATGTGAGTTTTCTGGGAATGTTACAAAAAAGTTGTTTGGTAAGATAAAATATTACTGAAAATATTAGACAAAAATTACTGATTCTACATTTGGTTGATGGTGAAATATTAATGGAAAAATATGTTATTTTACAAAAATAACCCCTTAATGATTCTACATTTTTGTCTTAGCAGCTGAGTCAGTTAGGTCTGTGCAATTAGACAAATCAATCTCAACCATGATTGAGTAGTACAAAGCCAAGGAAGACAACCCTACATGTGTGAAGAACATCCTCGACCAAGAAAGGTTAATGGACCGCAAGGAAGAGCTTCATGCCAGTGATACTGAATCTAACATGTCATCATCCACGCAAGGACATTGTGAGAAATTGAGGCGCAAGATTAAAGGGTAGCGGTGAAATGTTCTTGAAGGAACTCAAGGCGACGCAGCTTCAGTGCTATGGAGTGGTTGGACTCGAGTGAGTTGAAAGACCTGTAGACTGTAACATCTCCGTCTCGAGCCGGTTCAATTAACATGCATATGATACAAACAGAAACAGCGGAAGACTTAACTTACGAAAATACGAGCTAATTTTTTCTTTTTCTTTTTAATTCTCATTCGACGTAAACGAAAATCGGACATAGTTTCCTCTATAAATCGGACAACTGGAGATTTTCCAATCCCACTCAGAAGCATTTCCTGATAAACAGTTTATACAACACATCAATCCAGAAGTACCAGTCATGCAAATATAATCAGATACTCATCCATGGGTGCATGCATAACTTGGCTCAGTGCCGCTAATCTAACAGCATGCAATCCAATACATAAACATAACTGAATACTACATCATCATATAACGTGCCTGAATACTCAAATGTAATTGCATCAAACTGACAGACATGTACAAAACCTATACAGGCCATATACAAAATAAAGGAACTAACATCATGATCCACAAAATACTGAAATACTAAATGAAAGCACTATACTCCAAAATAGAAGTAGCCTACAGCTACTCAAAATCCAATACGTCCAAAATCCTCAGCCACGGGTAGCGTCCCTGACTCGAGAGGTCTCACCGGGGATCTGGGCACCTGAAAATATGGCCCCAACGAGGGGTGAGATTACAAATCCCAATAAGCTCCAGGTTTATAGAGAATTCTCCATACCCCTGGCTCACTCCTGCATGAAAGTCAGATACAGAGTATACAAATACAACATATAACAGAACAGAGCATATATCCATATCATATCAGAGATGTGCACCGCCATTCCCAAGGGAGGACCCCAAGCGGAAATCAACGCACGTGTTCCCGAGGGAGGACCCCAAAGCGGACATCCGGGTACTATACAATCAATGGCCAGAGATTGTTACAGAGATCATATTACAGAAGTCATATCAGAGCAAAACATATCATGTTATCAAATAACTCTATATGAATGCATCTATACAAAGCATCTAAATAACAGTCATACAGTTCAACCATAGTTCACTAACCATGGTGGAGTCCTCAAGCAGGAAAAGACTCCTTAAACATAGAGCTTACCTCTTGAAGCTTTACCAATACCCTTACTTGTTGCACAAGTTAATTATATCGCTTCAATAGAATTCCACTCCTTTTCAATCCCTAGGCACACCTAGAGAAGAATCCACAAATACAAATCAATAAAATGCTATCATGCCTAGATTTTCCATAAGGCATACATTTTATCGCTTATCTTCCTTTCTTTATATTTTTGCCAATGCTATGCCAATACACAAGTCTAGACCACCTTATACTCGTTAGCATTCTTTAATTTTTAATCAAATGTTCACTTGAGAATTTTCAACATAATTCATGCCATTTTCTTTAAGAGGCCGTGAACCTACCCTTAAGGGACTCAAGGTATTTTTCAACCCTTTTTCAAGCCATTTCACTTCTTAAATCATCAATTTTATACAACGAATTACAACACATTTTATTAAAATAAAGTGCAACAAATATATCCCTAAGCCACCCTATAGGTCGAATTCTACAAGGACAATAGGCACAAGGGTTCTTTTCTTTTTACTTATTCTTTTCTTCACTTAGTTTAACAACTACACATACATAAATATATATACACCAAGTTCCAATTTAAATTATTTTGGAATATTAAGCCCCTCAAAGACCCACAAGGCCGAAACATAGGGGCAAGTATTCATAGGATTTTTTTCCTCATTTAAGCATCCTTACTAGTTCCTGATTTTTCCACTTATTACAATACCTCACTCCTTCCAAATACATGGATTAAAATTTTGCACATCAACCCCTCTATGTCCTCACATGGCCGAATTATAAAAAGCCACAGCACAAGGAAATTTTTCATTTAATACATGTAAAAATGCTTATTTCACATGCTTATATACCAAATATCAAAAATCCATCATCACATTACCTTTAAACTAATTTATTTCCCACCCAACACATGCTCACAATTTCTATGACTCAAATCATCAAAATAATATCATGAAAATAAAGGTTTCTTACCACTAATCAACTTCCCAAGGCCTAGAGAGCAACCTCCAAGAAAAGCTCCATCAAAAACTCACTTTTTTCCTCCAATGAATAGTAACTCAAAAATGGGGGGAGGAAGAACTCCTCACACACTTAACTATAGCTCAAATTGATAGGTGAAATGGATTCATTGAGTGGTTTCTAATCGATTTCATGTGGTGGGTCTTTGAATTTGGAGGATGGATGATGTAGAAATCAAAGAAAGGAAAACCAAACCCTAAGCCCCCCCTTGTCCAAGTGCAGATCGGTTTTGGAAGAAAGAGAAGAACGGAAAGCTGATGTGAATAGTGATCTTTAAAGTGACAAGGCTTTATAACACATGTGACCTTTTAACGGATATTTTTCTTTCGCGTATTTTCACTTAAACTGACCCGGAACTAACTCAAAGCTACAAACATATTTTTATTTTTCTAAAATCATTTACATTAATTTTTATTTCCTAAGGAACAATATTCATAATTCACAGTATGGTTTCTGCACCGTTTTTGACGAAATGCACTGTGAACCACTAACTGTACTTTATTTATTTTCGAAACTTAACACTTATAAACTTATCATTTTCTTGGGCCTATATTGACTTGCTTGGCATATATTGGACTTTTGTTATTCTTATTTCATCATTTATTTGCTTCTGGGCTTTACAGATTGCTTAAACAGCAGTACAAAATACTCGGTAGAAACATTATTCACAAGATTTTCATGGAAAGTGCCAGACTATACAATTTTTTGTTCTGAACTCATATTTGACGTCAGAATTGTCAAATTATGTCTCTAAAATCATTTTTTAATCATTTAAGCTCTACCGGTTAATTCACAAAATTGCAAATTCTCCGGCAGAACGCACTGTTCATAACATAGTCATGATTACAGTCAAAATACTCGAAATCGCTCACTGAATCTAATTATGATATTTAAATCCTTAAATTAAATCTCTAATTAAGATTTATCATTTAGGGTCATTATACAGACCTCAAAGAATGACTTTATGGGTGCAGCCTGCAGGGTATTTTTGTCTCGTAAGTTTGTTTCATTTTTCCTTTGGTGTGGGATTTATAAAATACCACACTTTCAAAGGTAATTTGAAACAAGAATTTTGTGTGTAAATACGAATACCAGGAAAGAATGATCTCCAGGAAAAAAATTTGGGTAACCTTGTACCAAACACGACAATATAAGATTACCAATGTGACTTTCCAAGCAATCTAAAAAAATCCCTTCTACCAAACACCCCAGTATCGAACTCGGTACTCCGTGTTACTAAAAAGGAAATTTTTCTTTTTATTTTAATCCATGCTTTCCTTTATAATTTTTTTTAAGATCTAAAACTTTTTTTCCTTTTAGCATAGATGTACTTAGCGCAGGAGTACCCAAAGTTTTCTCGTAGTGTCCCAACACTTGTTAACGAGCTTAACTAAGAATAATTTTATTTGAATTAAAATTATAACTTTTAAATCAATAGTAAACATGATCTTATAATTGATATTAAAATTTAAATTACATGTTTGATTCTCAAAAGGCATAAAATTATTACTAAGTGCTTAAAGGAAAATGTTAGTTGTAAGCTAACATTTTATTCTGACATGGTCAAGTGAGTCAGAATCAAAACAATTAGAGACCATGTTATGCTATAACTAGATTAAACCGTAACCCTTCTTGATAAAGGGTTTTAAAAAAGAGCAAAATTCTAACCAAAAAGTTTAGAGCTTGTTGCTCCAACAGCTAAATTCCTCCCCTTTACATTTCATCCCAGTGTCTCTCAAATTTCCAAAAGATAAGCATGTCACCCTTAATTTATTCAAAACTTATGTTGTTAATCATTTTGATCTTCCTTTATCCCTACTTTACATATTTTCCTATTAAATGAAGAGCAAACTTTTAATCTCGGAAATGAATGTCATATGCAATAGACGAAGTACTAGATCTGCTAATCTTGTTAATATAGATGTCAACAAGGTCTTGAGTGTTGATCATTGATGATATTATTCAGGAAGGAATAGCAGTGGGAAGAAGCTTTGCAATGTTTAAAAATTACCATATTGATGGCAACAAAGAGATGATAGCTATTGGGACCATGAACATAGTTGGTTCTTTCACCTCTTGCTACCTCACAACAGGTAAAGGTTTTATTAACTATTAGAATCAAATGTTATGCACCCCATTTGACATGCAAGTAATTCGGTGCTTTGCTCAGCCAGAACATCACCAATTGCTAACAAAAATATATACCCTTTTCTTCTTTTTGCCTTTTGCATGAGCTTTATTTACAGGCTTATTTTCATCCATCAACCACAAGAAAAGTAATCAATCAATTACTTTTTATTTTTCCACATCTGCTAACAAATGTGGTTTAAAAAACCAATATTGTTTCAGGGCCATTTTCGCGTTCAGCCGTGAACTATAATGCTGGATGCAAAACTGCGGTGTCAAACATTGTAATGTCAATTGCAGTCATGTTGACATTGTTATTCCTAACACCCTTGTTCCATTACACTCCCTTGGTGGTGCTATCAGCCATAATTGTATCAGCAATGCTTGGCCTTATAGATTATCAAGCTGCCATCCATCTGTGGAAGGTTGACAAATTTGATTTTGTCGTGTGCATGAGTGCATATATTGGCGTGGTGTTTGGCAGTGTTGAAATCGGTTTAGTCATAGCAGTATGTATCAATGAGCTCCCACTCTGCTAAATTTTATGTTTCTCACTAACTTCTGAGTTTAATATAAAGGTTTATGAAATTAATGTGTTTTCCTGTAGGTTGCAATATCTGTACTTCGGGTACTTTTATTTGTTGCAAGGCCAAGGACACATGTTTTGGGCAACATTCCAAATTCTGTTATATACAGAAATGTTGAGCAATATCCAAATGCAAAACATGTTTCTGGAATCCTAATTCTACAGATTGATGCACCAATTTATTTTGCCAATGCAAGTTATTTGAGAGAAAGGTAAGTTGGTGTAAATTTGGAGTTAGTTATTCTCTTGCATGCAAAAAATTCTGGCCTACAATAGAAGTGGACACTTACCCTAGTTTCAAAACTTGGTTACTGTTCATAGGATCACAAGGTGGATTGATGAAGAGGAAGACAGAATTAAAACTGCAGGGGAGACAAGTTTGCAGTATGTAATAATGGATATGAGTGGTAAGTAATGGGCCTAAGAAATATAGTAATTGATATTTGGTTATTAGAATTTCCAGTCCTAAGTTGCTGTGTAATTTTGTTGGAAGCTGTTGGGAACATTGATACAAGTGGAATAAGCATGCTTGAAGAGGTCAAGAAGATTGCAGACAGAAGAGGACTACAAGTAATTCTTTCTCTCATGTTATCTGTTAATTATGAACCAATATTTTCTTATAGCATTTTCAATTTTAGCATGCTTGATTAGTTTTTTTTATTTTATTTTTTATTTTTTGCATGCAGCTTGTTTTGGTCAATCCTGGAAGCGAGGTGATGAAGAAACTGAACAAATCCAAGGTCCAAGAACATATAGGGCAGAAATGGATCTATCTGACAGTTGAAGAGGCTGTTGGAGCATGCAACTTCATGCTCCATGCTTGCAAACCGAATCCCAAGAAAGACGAATCAGAGGGTTGGAACAATGTCTGAGCCATATATCAAAGCATATTTTAAAGAGCTCACAAAGCTTACTTGTTTTCGTTTCAACCATTACAATATGTGGCAAGAGAGTTTGTGAATCATTCCGCAGATTTTAAGGCATAGGAAAATGAAAGATGCATGGTTCTTGTAATTTCTCAACTTGGTATCCTAAGCTAGAATAGAATCTCCTTCGTTGGCTGCTGAATCATTATGTATCATGCTTGATAATCAATTCAAATGTAAAGTAATTGCCTTGAGAATTGAAAAGTGTTCCTATGGAAACGTCATAGAACTAGAACAAATTAAAGTGGATTACTGATCGCAAGTTCTGAACCTAAAGTTATTACTGGCCAAAAAACAAGTAAAGCTTACATTATTTATTTTTTTGTAGATAAAGCTTACATTATTAGGCTACATGCATATGCATCACCTTATTTTGGGAGGGGACAATGTGGTGCACTTAACAGGAATAGCAATATAGGAAATAAAATGTTCCCAGATAGAATTCATTTATAACCAATAAGCTGATACAGATAAAGTAAAACTCAATTAAAGATTGAGATTGAAATTTGTGACTTATATATATATTTCTCATTTTCAAACCTCTAAAAGTACTATCAAAACATCACAACTAAACTACTGAGCAGAATTAGGTAGTTAGAATTTAGCCGGGAATGAACCAGGAGTAAGAATCCTGTAACTCCTCCTTTTGATTTGAGGAATGTGATGTTGTGTGATGCCAAGGGGGATTACTACCCCCAGACCTTGTTCTTTGTAGTTGTTTGTTTTTGGGGTTAGCCCCTAATGATTAACACAAAAATAAAAAGAAAAGAAAATAGTCCGGAATAAGGGTAGTTTTCGGATAAAAAAATGTAGTAGAACTCGTCACTAATCTAAAAGTCATTATAAATATGCCAAATCATTCCCGTGAGAAGCCCTTTCTTTTCCCCTAATTACAAATTGAACTACGAAAAAGTCCACAGCCTGTTGAGTCTTAATAGTCTCTTGCACCACAATTGTAAAGAAAGTAATAGCCAAAACATGAATCACTCGTCTAAACCAGAGAAAAAAGGAGGAGATTATTCAGAATTAAACATTAAAAGAAATGGCGAAAATTCCATCTCAGCCTCTTCTTATGAGTAAATGAGGCACATGTACAGCAGGATCAAAATATGTAGGGTCTTATTAAAGCATCTATAGAAAGGAAAATTTACAAACAAGAAAGCTAATGTCTCAATTGTCTCCGGTACTTTAAAAGAATTGTGATTTCCCAAACCTATTCAGCGATGATGGAAAGAATTAACTCACATGTCCAATTATTCGCTTTGTGCGCTTAACGATGAAGAGAGGATAAGAGAGGAGATTCTCAAACCTAGAGAGAGATGTACAGATCACAACCCAGGAGATGAGAGAATAAAAATTAAGATTATAAGGAATAATTATGAACCGTTAGATTTAATTCTAATCTAACGATGATAAGATTGGTTATAAGGGTGATAAACTTACCTGGTGGTAAGTATAACCGTTCCCACCTAAAAAACATTAATCCGTAGTATTAATGGATCAAATTCTTTCTACTCCATATAAACCGGTCGAATCATCTATGTTTTTTGCTTTATTTATTTTTATCTTTTGTGAAAAGTTACCTTTGTTTATTCAAATTCATATCATATATATATTTTTTCAACAATAATTCTCTTTTAATATTTTTTTTCCAAGATCATCAGTTATAAATACTAAATATTATTCATATTCATGTTTTCCATTTCAATAATTAATTACATATGTATTCAGTATTTTTCAAGAAATTAAAATTAAAATTCTACATATTTTTTTTTTGGTAATCTAAATTTAACCCGTGCAAGCCCGTGTCTTGCACATTTAAAATGGTAGTTGAATTGAACTTTAATATACCATCAATGTTAAAAATGTTACACTATTATACAGTGATGTATTATCATACAAGTTAGTGAGTTTGACATATTTTATAGATAACTTCATTAAATAATATAATAAAACATCATACTTTTTATTAGAAGTTATAACACATCACTGAATGATACTGTTAGTGCATAGAAATTAAATTTTACAGATATATAATAAATAATAAATGACTGTTTATGTTTCATAATTTTATATAAAATTTTAAAATTACTGATGTTATTTCACAAAAAGAAAATTTGAACTTAGTTTGGACATTCGTGAAAAAGTTATGAACTTCAAACTAGTAGTACAAGCGCTGCGTAGTACAGCTATCTCAGAAAATGCCAATGGTGTCAACTAGAAGTCTAGAACAACTAAGATTAGAAGCTACTCTTCAAATTATAATGTCATAAATAGTACTACATTAATTTACAATGTTGTTAATGATCATAAAAGTGCATCAGAAAACCTTAGGCCACAGTTTCTTTGAAGCTCTTAGTCAACCAAATAGCTGTTTCCCTTGGAGAAACCTTCTCAGGCCCGAATGGCTTCAACAACACCTCAAGCTCTTCAAACCTCTGTTGTTGTAGGAGCCGCGCACTGAACTCGAGCAACCCCTCCAATGCCTCCGCACGTTGCTGGTAAGACGAGGTGTCAAACCTGCGCTGACAAGACTCAGCAGAGGAATGGCTTGAAACAGCAGTCGCCACATGTTCAGAGCATTCATTGGCATATGAAACTGGAGCAACTGGACAGACATCAATACCACTGGTAGGGACACTGGCTTTGTCCACAACCTGGATTGTACACTTGTCCTTTGTGATTAAGCACTCTGCACTCCTTGGGGAATCAGAAGAAGAGCACTGACCTGATGTTGATGAAGTTCCACGGATAGGGAAGAGAGGAACCTCATAAGAGGCCAGAGGGAATTCTGCAATCTTGTCAATTCGCGGTGCATTAACAGAAATATCAGGGGAGTCCACACTTCGAAGACCAACATTGGTTCTATAAGGGGTGGTCGTGGCCATGGATCTTGTAGGCAGTGGAAGGGAGGCTCTGCGGGTTGGTGGGGTAAATTTACCAGCTGGGATAGGAGATGCTGGAAGCTGAAATGATGATAAGCAAACACATAAATCAATACACAGACTAGATTCTTCAGAAACATATATGCTCTCCATGATTCAGGCCAAGAAAACCTCACCCACAAACTGAGTTCTCTTGGAAATTAATATGAAATCATTATGTGATGACATTAGGTATTTGCTAATATAGGACGTATGTACATATTTTCACACATGCATACAAAATGTGTCACACGTGATTCAAAAATTAATGCCATTATATAGGAAAATCCAAACCCAAATTTCCGTTTTAAAATTATATATAATTATGATCTTTAGATGACATAATTCAGGTTGAGTAGTTAATTCAATCTGCTCAGCATGAGTTAAATTATTTTTCTCTTTCCTTATTTCTTGGGCAGTAATCAAGATAAATGGAGCTATTGAGTAGTGTAGAGCTTAAACTTACAAAATTTCGTTTAGAACCAGTATGGACTATCTTTGATGGAATTGTCTGCCTTCTGGGGGTGGCAGATTCCTTAGCTGCTCTCAATCTTGGCATCCTATCAACTGTTGAGAACTTCGTCTCTTTTGACTTGTTAGTATTGCATTCTTCAACAACACAGCCCACAGATAGTTCATAGTATTTCTCTTTTAAACAAGTAGAGAATCCTTGTGCTCTTTGAGTAGAACACAAAGAACCTTGTTCAGTTCCAGAAATACTAGGATTCAATGCCCTGTCGTTGCTGAATGACAACCGTTTATCTCTGTCAGAAAGAGTAGAAACAGATTCTGGCTCTTCAAACCGAGTTCTCCTTCCATAGTTTGAGTCAGACCATCGGAATCGAAAAGTACTTCTTCTGGGACTATTTAGCTTTAGGTGAATTTTAAGAATATAAGGTTGAAGATGTGGATGATTTAGTAACTCTGCAGCCTGCCAAACAAACTGCGCTTAATTTGCGTTGAACAAATCTATCCAAATAATCAAGCAGAATTGCATAAATAAGTTATACAAGGGTGGAAAAAGAACACAGTACAGTTTTCAGCAAACAATTAAATTTACAAATATAGCAGTGCCTTTCATGAAACGTATAAAGGATATTTGGTTAACTTAAAATGTTTAACACTTCAAATTGCAATATAAAAGTCTTGCGGTAATTTATAGAACAGAAGTCAGAATTAAACCGATAATGATGATGATGATAAGAAAAACAAGGGATTAAAAAAATATTTTTCATCAACGCAGGAAGAGATGAAGAGAACAGAAGTAAAGGCTAAAGGCTGACACTACCTTCATAGTTATATGATTACATAATTAACGAAGTTACAGCATCCAAAGATATGGTAAAAATAAAACCAACCAAATGGTCCTATAAGTGGCCTCCTGATATGCATGTTGAGCAAAAGTGTAAAAATACCTTTAGTTCTTGAAATCCCATTTTTTTACGTCACATTACACATTTTCTAGAAGCCAAGTCTCAAGAAAATTGAATATAAAAGAAAATTGCTCATCATAGAATATATGGAGCTCGAAGAGTAATATGGTATAAGAATAGAGCTTGCGAAAGAAACACTAAGGAATCTGTCAAGCAATCAATTCTCCCAAAAGCTTTAGCCATTGGGTAAGGTCACATGAATGGTTTTATTACATCTCTAACACGCTTCCCCGTGCGAACCCTATGAGATTTGTTACGTGAATAGTGTATAGACCCATTTTTTTGGTTTGCCTTGTACTAAAAGTTAACTTGTTTTTATCAGAATACGGGGCGGCAAGGATAGAATTCGAGACAACTTAATCTTAGGCGCCTCTGATACCTTGTCAAATAACCAATTCTCCCAAAAGCTTAAGCATTGGGTGAAGGCACATGAATGATTTTTTTACATCTCTTAATAGAGTCAAAACAAGATTTGCTCCACTACCTTATACCATATAAGATGAAAAGCTAAAAGCCAAAATTATATATATATATATATATATATATATATATATATATTATTTTTATTTTTAAAAAAGAGACCACAAAATCCAAGTCCACATCTAAACTTATTCGGCTGTGATGACATTTGGCTCATATTTATCACTCAAAGACAATCATACGTAAGCCATGTACAGACAATGATATCTGCATACATTTTTTGTATAGACTAGTTTTCATCAATTAATCCACATCTTGATAAATGCAAAAAAAAAAAAACTCAAAAATGAAACGTACACTTGGTCTAAGCTCTGGATTTTTCCGCAACATGCTTTTAACAAGCCCTCGACTGAAAGAAGAAATACATATATCACAATACGTTACACCCATCATGTCATTGAATAAGGTCAATAAAATGAGCAGCAGAAATGATAAATAACTGTACAAAGATTGAGAATGTGAGTCAATAAGATATATCCAAATCTGGAGTGTATCAGGAGTTAAAAAGAAAAAAGATTGCTTGCCACTAAACTAGAGTTATCATTGCAAAATGCATAATGGTAAACTAAATCCCATACTGAATTACATGTCATCTTTCAGTCGTAACAAAAGGGTCATATTAAGTGAATTGAGAGCTGTAGTGTAGACATGCTTTTAAAATGACATAATTCTTAACATAGAACACTTTTTGGATGCAAGAGCACTTAGATTTCCAATCCGCATCAATTTTGAAATCCTATCAGCCAATGGTAAGACAAATTTAATGGTAGGCTTGACAAACTATGAATGCATCGAAGAGTGATCACTGATTTTATCAGTATCTACAATGCATGCATTCCTTCCCCAATAAACCAGGCATTGACATTATTCAAATGCTGTAGGTATAGGTACCAACATAACTGTTATATAAAATGGGGGAAAGACAGATAAAGAGTCTAAAGAACATAAGATTCTTCGGAAATAGAGTACTCACAAAGAACCAGAATACACTGTTGGTAATGGAGCCACTAAAGACTTGTTTATTTTGTTAATCAATGATTGCATATCCTGCTCAAATAGAAGACAACAAAAAAGTCACTGATTTCATGTTGTGTTCTAAAATGAATCACCATGGACATTGATGATGAAACAACATAATATTCGACGTTTCAAATGAATCACTGTACTAAATCCAATTCCCATGCTGAAAAAGTTTTGCAAATAATGTTTTGTTAAAAATAATAAAAAAGATATAACTTTCAACCTTATATTAACTTACAAGAGCTTTAAAAGCTGGCTTATGAGCAGCCATTTCATATACACAGCATCCTGACAAATGTTATAACTGATGTCAATTGCAATTGAAAACATACTGTAAAACAGGTGAAAGGAAAGTATAATTAACCCTAGGTTATGTCATGAGTACAAAATAAATCTATCTTACCCAAAGACCAGATATCTGACTTAGAACCGTAGGGTATATCAGCAAGAAGCTCTGGGCACATATAACTTGGAGTCCCCACTACCTAGGTGTAGAGAAAGAACACACAGTAAGAGATCAAGTAAAAGTGATCAAAAGAATATCTTGGCCATAACACTCACTGAGGAAGCAAGATCATCACATGTCAACATTTTAGCAAGACCAAAGTCACCTGCATCCAAATCCAACATACATAACATAAGGATACGATACTAAAACAAGGCACACTTAGAGATGTTCAGACTCCAAACAAATCCATGAAGTCTAAGAGCAGTGTGACGATAGAATGAAGGAAGCCATTACCTAGACGTATATCTTGATCTTTAGTCAAGAATATATTCGAACACTGAAACCAATGTAGATAAAACATCAATATAAAGTGAGTCCTCGAAGATTTCAGATACCTAGCGACATAACATCTTCAGTTATTGAACTTAGAGAAATCATTCACCTTGACATCACGATGAAGAATATGATTTGCATGCAAGTAATCAAGTGCCATCAGCAATTGGACAAGCCACTTACAAAGCCTCTGCAAGCAAAAGTTGATAGATATTAATTAATTAAGTGCTAAAAAGCTTTCACATAGGAATGAAAATTATTCATTCCGGGTTCAGAAGTAAAAGGAGTTGCTCCAAGGCTGACCAACCTCTTCAGGAAAATGAATACCATTAGCCTTTTTAATAGCTTCAGCCCTGTACAACAAAGAAATTATAGAAGGACTACATAATTCGCAGTTAAAAGATAAAATGTCTTCATAAATGTTCTGTGTTCCTCAAATTCTTGAATTCAATGAGAATAATGACTTACATATCTCCTCCTTCACAATATCCAATGATGATACATACAAAACAACCCTGGAAGTGAAGATACCAGCTTGGCAATTTCAGAATTACAAATTAATTAAGAACTATAAATCCATATGCTGTGTTACAAAGAGTGGTTCCCCCACCAAGATTTTCATTAGTATGATAAAAAATCAGCATTTGTCAAGAAACAAGTGAATAGAAAATCATTAAAATTTTCAAGTCCAGAATAAGTCACTTTTGACAACATAAACCAAAATTTAGACTCATGGAACTCTTAGTAAGTCAAATAAACAACATGACAACAGAACAACAAAAAGCAACAAAATTCAAAAGTTTTGATTAAAAATAAAAAGTCCGACCTTTTCTACCCAGGAATCTTTATACTCTACAATAAATGGATTTTGAACTTTAGAGGTAAGCTCCATCTGCAAAACAAGGAATCAACAAAGCATCTTAGAATCTTTTAGATTAAAAAGACAACATAAGGCAGTGTTTGGATATTCAATGATAGGTGGAATGGAATGAAATTTCCATAAAATTGTTTAGATATTTCATGATAGAATGGAGTGAAGTATCTGTTCCATTATTTGGAAAGTGGACAGAATGGTAAGAGTTATAACTTTTTTATTATTGGTCCTATATAGAGTGGTTCCATCCCATTCCCCCCCAAATTGGGGCAAAGAAAAATATGGGTATTTGATAGAATGGAATAAATGCATTCCATCATCCAGTTCCATTATATCCTATTTCAAACAATCAAAACAATAACAACTAATTTAATTTCATTCTATTCCACTCCATCAATCCAAACATAGCCTAAGTATCCCGTTTCACATTCTAAAACAAAAACCGATAAATAGAAAGAAAAGTATTCTAAATATTACATTGACTAAAATGAATTATAAAACCTGGACTCAAAGATCAATATTAAATTCTCAAGCTGCAAAACATCAACATCAACATGAACAACACCTTTATCCCAAACATAGGTGTATTTATCTAACATACATAATGCACAAGTAAGTAAAATTATTCAAAGAAAGAAGTAAGCCCCCGTTTATGAACTGAGATTCAGTTAGGAGCATTACTTCCTGGCGAGCAGATCTACGGATTCTGTCAGTCTGGCGAGCAAGACGGATCTTCTTGAGGACATACCTAAATACAAAATACAAAATAACAAATACAAAACGATATACGAGCTTATCAGTGAGTATAACTAAACATAACACACGAGTTCATACATATTACTTAAACAATTTAACCTGCAAAGCAAAAAAGATATCTCGAATCACACATTTAATTAAACAAAGAGTTAGGAACGAAGCTCACTTTCTGTTTTCGTGCTTGTGCCTGACCAGCAGAGCAGAAGCAAAGGAACCTTTACCAATCTGTTCTAGAATTTCATACTGCTCCATTTCCACTAAAATCACTTCACTTTTTACCTCACATTCCTGGAAACATTAACGGCATTTAGTAAGTTCCATCACCACGAAATGAAGTATTCACAGGGTTTCATACTAAGACGATTTCACACGTACAAGTTAGTTTTGCATTCATGAAGTGTAAAACCGAATTTGAAGGAAACCTAATCCAAACAAAAAATAGAGAAGAATGTGAATTGATGATTGAAGTGATGTGGAGCGTTAAGCCCTCACAAAAACCCCAACCTTATTACCCGTGCTCTTAATTTATTTCTATTTCCTTGTGCAGTCCTTTTCACCCATGACGCTTTTTAACTTTGAACCCATTCGTGTATCCTATTCATATTTAAATCAATTTCTGCCAATTTTTATCTTTTACCGCTCTTCAACACGGACATTTCATATGGTTCATTGAATTTTAATGACTATTACATAGGTCTTTTTTTCAATTTTTTATATAAATAGATTTTCTCCGTCAAACTATATAAACTATTTTTTATTTTTTATTTTCAAAAGTTTCCAAGTGCTTGGGCCAAGGCCCATATATCATCATCGTATATAAATATTTAATAGCATTATTTTCCTCCGAATCCTAAACCCTACACTGCGCTAACGAGAAAATGGACTCATCACAATCAGAGAAAATCACCCACGTATGTTTAAACTTTAAACCCTAATGTTATCCTTTAGCTACTGTGTTTTTTTTTTTGTTTTTTGGTATAAACTAGCATGCATAAAGGTCCTGAATAACGTCTCTGCATCAATGACATCTTTGACCCACTGTGCTATTGTATTTTTTTTGTTTTTTTGTATAAATTAGCATACATTAAGGTCCTGAATAACGTCTCTGCATCAATGACATCTTTGACCGTTTGACTTGCGGTCTACAATGCACATCAGTGAAAATGATACTGACAAGTTGTATATTGAGTGTTACTGTATATATAGCATATACTCCAATCCCCAGCCATTTACGGTAGTTTAATGAACTTAATTTTGATTAATGTTAGTATTTAGCATGCATAAAGGTCCTGTATAACGTCTCTGCATGAATGACATCTTTGACCGTTTGACTTGCGGTCTACAATGCACGCCAGTGAAAACGATACTGACAAGTTATATAGCATACACACCCGTGCTCTTATTTTATTTCTCTTTCGTTGTTCAGTCTTTTTCACCCATGACAATTTTTGACTTTGAACCATTCCTATATCGTATTCATATTTGTGTCAATTTCTGCCAATTCTTTTCTTCGCTCTTCAACACGAACATTTCATTTCGTTCATTGAATTTTAATGACTATTACATTGGTCTATTTTTCAATTTTTTATATAAACAGATTTTCTTCGTCAAACTATATAAGCTATTTTTTATTTTTTTATTTTAAAAAGTTTCCAAGTGCTTGCGCCAAAGTCCATATATCATCATCGGATATAAATATTTAATAGCATTATTTCCCTCCGATACTGACAAGTTGTATATTGAGTTTTACTGTATATAGCATACACTCCCATCCCCAGCCACTTACGGTAGTTTAGTAAACTTAATTTTGATTAATGTTAGTATTTAGCATGCATAAAGGTTTTGAATAACATCTCTGCATCAATGACAGCTTTGACCTTAATGTTGATCCTTTAGCTACTGTATTTTTTTTTTGTTTTTTCGTATAAATTAGCACACATTAAGGTTATGAATAACATCTCTGCATCAATGACATCTTTGACCTTTTGACTTGCGGTCTACAATGCACGCCAGTGAAAACGATACTGACTAGTTGTATATTGAGTTTTACTGTATATATAGCATACACTCTCATCCCCAGCCACTTACGGTAGTTTAGTGAGCTTAATTTGATTAATGTTAGTATTTAGCATGCATAAAGGTCCTGTATAACGTCTCTGCATGAATGACATCTTTGACCGTTTGACTTGCGGTCTACAATGCACATCAGTGAAAATGATACTGACAAGTTGTATATTGAGTTTTACTGTATATATAGCATATACTCCCATCCCCAGCCACTTACGGTAGTTTAGTAAACTTAATTTTGATTAATGTTAGTATTTAGCATGCATAAAGGTTTTGAATAACATCTCTGCATCAATGACAGCTTTGACCTTAATGTTGATCCTTTAGCTACTGTATTTTTTTTTGTTTTTTCGTATAAATTAGCACACAAGGTTATGAATAACATCTCTGCATCAATGACATCTTTGACCTTTTGACTTGCGGTCTACAATGCACGCCAGTGAAAACGATATTGACTAGTTGTATATTGAGTTTTACTATTTATATAGCATACACTCTCATCCCCAACCACTTACGGTAGTTTAGTGAGCTTAATTTTGATTAATGTTAGTATTTAGCATGCATAAAGGTCCTGTATAACGTCTCTGCATGAATGACATCTTTTACCGTTTGACTTGCGGTCTACAATGCACGCTAGTGAAAACGATACTGACAAGTTGTATAGCATACACACCCGTGCTCTTATTTTATTTCTCTTTCGTTGTTCAGTCTTTTTCACCCATGACAATTTTTAACTTTGAATCATTCCTATATCGTATTCATATTTGTGTCAATTTCTGCCAATTCTTTTCTTCGCTCTTCAACACGGACATTTCATTTCGTTCATTGAATTTTAATGACTATTACATAGGTCTATTTTTCAATTTTTTATATAAACAAATTTTCTCCGTCAAACTATATAAGCTAATTTTTATTTTTTATTTTCACAAGTTTCCAAGTGCTTGGGTCAAAGCCCATATATCATCATCATATATAAATATTTAATAGCATTATTTCCCTCCGAATCCTAAACCCTACACTGTGCTTACGAGAAAATGGACTCATCGCAATCAGAGGAAATCACCTACGTATGTTTAAACTTTAAACCCTAAAGTTGATCCTAGCTACTGTATTTTTGTTTTGTTTTTTGGTATAAATTAGCATGCATAAAGGTCCTGAACAACGTCTCTGCATCAATGACATATTTGACCCACTGTGCTATTGTTTTTTTTTTGGTATAAATTAGCACACATTAAGGTCCTGTATAACATCTCTGCATGAATGACATCTTTGACCGTTTAACTTGCGGTCTACAATGCACGCCAGTGAAAATGATACTGACAAGTTGTATATTGAGTTTTACTGTATATATAGAATACACTCCCATCCCCAGCCATTTACGGTAGTTTAGTGGGCTTAATTTTGATTAAAGTTAGTATTTAGCATGCATAAAGGTCATGTATAACGTCTCTGCATGAATGACATCTTTGACCGTTTGACTTGCTGTCTACAATGCACGCTACTGAAAACGATACTGACAAGTTGTATATTTAGTTTTACTGTATATATATCATACACTAAAATCCCCAGCCATTTACAGTTGTTTAGTGGGCTTAATTTTGATTAATGTTAGTATTTAGCATGCATTAAGGTCCTGTATAACGTCTCTGCATGAATGACATCTTTGACCTTTTGACTTGCGGTCTACAATGCACGCCAGTGAAAACGATACTGACAAGTTGTATATTGAGTTTTACTGTATATATAGCATACACTCCCATCCCCAGCCACTTACGGTAGTTTAGTGGGCATAATTTTGATTAATGTTAGTATTTGGCATGCATAAAGGTTCTGTATAACGTCTCTGCATGAATGACATCTTTTACCGTTTGACTTGCGGTCTACAATCAGTGAAAATGATACTGACAAGTTGTATAGCATGCACACCCGTGCTCTTTTTTTATTTCTCTTTCGTTGTTCAGTCTTTTTCACCCATGACAATTTTTGACTTTGAACAATTCCTATATCGTATTCATATTTGTGTCAATTTCTGTCAATTCTTTTCTTCGCTCTTCAACACGGACATTTCTTTTCGTTCATTGAATTTTAATGACTATTACATAGGTCTATTTTTCAATTTTTTATATAAACAGATTTTCTCCGTCAAACTATATAAGCTATTTTTTATTTTTTATTTTCAAAAGTTTCCAAGTGCTTGGGCCAAAGCCCATATATCATCATCGTATATAAATATTTAATAGCATTATTTCCCTCCAAATCCTAAACCCTACATTGTGCTTACGAGAAAATGGACTCATCGCAATCAGAGGAAATCACCCACGTATGTTTAAACTTTAAACCCTAATGTTGATCCTAGCTACTGTATTTTTTTTTGTTTTTTGGTATAAATTAGCATGAATAAACGTCCTGAACAACGTCTCTGCATCAATGACATATTTGACCCACTGTGCTACTGTTTTTTTTTTTGGTATAAATTAGCACACATTAAGGTCCTGTATAACATCTCTGCATGAATGACATCTTTGACTGTTTGACTTGCGGTCTACAATGCACGCCGGTGAAAATGATACTGACAAGTTGTATATTGAGTTTTACTGTATATATTGCATACACTCCATCCCCAGTCGTTTACGGTAGTTTAGTGGGCTTAATTTTGATTAATGTTAGTATTTGGCATGCATAATGGTCCTGTATAACGTCTCTGCATGAATGACATCTTTTACCGTTTGACTTGCGGTCTACAATGCACGCTAGTGAAAATGATACTGACAAGTTTTATAGCATACACACCCGTGCTCTTTTTTTATTTCTCTTTCGTTTTTCAGTCTTTTTCACCCATCACAATTTTTGACTTTGAACCATTCCTATATCGTATACATATTTGTGTCAATTTTTGCCAATTCTTTTCTTCGCTCTTCAACGCGGAAATTTCATTTCGTTCATTGAATTTTAATGACTATTACATAGGTCTATTTTTCAATTTTTTATATAAAGAGAGTTTTTTCCGTAAAACTATATAAGCTATTTTTTATTTTTTATTTTCAAAAGTTTCCAAGTGCTTGGGCCAAAGCCCATATATCATCATCGTATATAAATATTTAATAGCATTATTTCCCTGCGAATCCTAAACCCTACACTGTGCTTACGAGAAAATGGACTCATCGCAATCAGAGCAAATCACCCATGTATGTTTAAACTTTAAACCCTAATGTTGATCCTAGCTACTGTATTTTTTTTTAATTTTGGTATAAATTAGCATGCATAAAGGTCCTGAACAACGTCTCTGCATCAATGACATATTTGACCCACAGTGCTACTGTTTTTTTTTTTTGGTATAAATTAGCACACATTAAGGTCCTGTATAACGTCTTTGCATGAATGACATCTTTGACCGTTTGACTTGCGGTCTACAA